TTAACTAGTTTGATGAAAGTATTTCAAATTATATATAAAACCAGCACATTGTACCCCATGATTGCATTAATGTACACAGCTATGATTTGCCAATAATTTTAAAAAAGCATTGCCTGTCTTCCCTACTAGAATATAAACACCAATGGGCAGAGTCTTTGTTTTTTTTGTTCATCACAGCATCAACAGTCTAGAAGGGTGCTAGGCACATATTAAATACTTCACACAATAAATAATTTTTAGCAAATAAACATCTTTTTTTCCTCTGTCCTTCTGTTTCCTTCCTTCCTTCCTTCCTTCCTTCCTTCCTTCCTTCCGTGTTGCTCTGTCACCCAGGCTACAGAGCAATGGCATCATCACAGCTCACTGCAACCACAACTCCTGTGCTCAAGGTATCATCTTGCTTTAGCTTCCTGAGTAGCTGAGACTGCAGACACATACCACTACACCTGGTTAATTTGGGGGCTCTATTACTATAGATAGAAGAGAATACTAAATCATGGGGGATAACTAGCAGCCCCATCCTAAAAATTCTCATTCTCTTTTTCTCAAGTAATCATTTGATAGTACTTACTAAGAACTGAGCATTGACCTAAGTTTTGTTTGTTTTTCTGTTTTGTTTGTTTGGTCTATTAAATTTTTCAATCCTCACAAAAGCACTATGAGTCAGGCTCTATTATCCACATTTTACAGATGAGAAAATCGAATCACAGAAAAAATAATGTAACTTGCCCAAGGTCACAGGGCTAAAGAATTGAAAAGCTGTAACTGTAACCAGGCAATTTGGCTTATCCACTCTTCTACTCATACTACACACACTGCCTCCTTTCTGCTGCATCTCAGAATATCTTCAGTTCTTTAGATTCGGCAAGGAAAAAGCACTTATCTGCATAAGGAACATAATGTCTCTTTTTCCACACTCTGATAGGTAATTTATTTGTTCAAGGGCTCATATTGTAAGCATTAAATCAAGCCTGGGCTTTGATTCTGTGAACCCAAATTCACATGTTAAGAAAGATAAAAGCAAACTGTGATCCATGTAAATGGATGAATAAACATCTTTGCATGACTATTACTGCCATGCAAAGGCTCAGGGTTCTTTACATTGTAGTTTTTATTTTTATTTATTTTTTTTTTTTTTTTTTGAGACGGAGCCTCAAGCTATCCCCCTAGGTAGAGTGCCATGGCATCATGCTCACAGCAACCTCCAACTCCTGGGCTCAAGCGAGTCTCCTGCCTCAGCCTCCCAAGTAGCTGGGACTACAGACGCCCGCCACAACGCCTGGCCAATTTTTGGTTGCAGCCATCATTGTTATTTGGCAGGCCCGGGCTGGGGATTCGAACCCGCCACCTTAGGTGTATGTGGCTGGCGCCTTAGCCACTTGAGCCACAGGCGCCGAGCCTACATTGTAGTTTTTAAATTTCTACAGCCTAGAGCTCAGTAGTCACAGGCCTTTTAGGTCCTTCTGGATGTCCCACCAGCTATCTGCACTTTCCTTGAGCTGAGCAACCTCTTCATCCTTTAGCTTCTGGGTGATAACACTAGTTAATCCCCGAGCATTGAGGATACACGGGAGACTCAGGAAGTCTTCGTTCTCAGTGCCATACATCCCCTTCACCTTTATCGATGTGGAACGAATCCTTGATACATTTTTCAGTATCAAGATTCAGTAAGATCAGCTATACTTAATGCAATGGCCCAACTGGTATATACTTTTAGCTTGATGACTCCTTAGGTACCCTCAACCCACCATCATTTTCACTATCATTGTCTGTTCCCATTTCTGGATTCATTTCCTACAGAGAAACACCTGCCACATTTACTTCATTCCATACAGCCACACTTGAGTCACCATGTTCTCCTAAAATCCACCCATGGCAGCTGCTGGGATGAATGCCAAGTTTTCCATCCATGGGATAGTAAAATCTAGCAGAATCCAGACTGCATCCATTTCCAAACACATGATACTTGGGTAATCCACTTAGTTTCTAGGTAACAGCTGTAAGAATGTCTACTGGATTGGAAACCACAATTATGATGTAATCAGGACTGTACTCGACAATCTGAGTAATAATGAATTTGAAGATGTTAACATTTCTCTGCACCTGATAGAGATGACTCTCCCCTTCTTGCTAACAGACACCTGCAGTTGCCACCACAATCTTAGAATTGGCAGTCACAGAGTAATCTTTATCTGCCACAACTGCAGATGCATCATTCCTTTTCTAAGCTTGTCTTCCAGAACATGCACAAGAGCAAGTTCATCAGCCAGAGATTTTCCCAGAAGGCTGATAGCACACACCATGCCAACTTGTCTGACACCCACTATAGTGATCCTATTATGTTAGACTGCTGCCTCTTCTACAATTCATGCAATGAATTTTTCCTTAAGAGTTGCCATCATGCAAGGAGAGAGAAGGCTCTCAAGCTGGCAGTGATAGTTGTACAAAAACAATGTTAGCCGTGTGTGTCTCCCATATTGTCTTTTTATTCAGAGAACAAATAAGCAGAAGGTGTAAGGGTAATACACCTATTAGCCAGTAATTTTAGAGAGTCACTTTACAGGCTCTTTCCCCACATTCAGGACCTTTTTTCCTTTCCACAATCATTTTTTGCAAACTTTATCATTGAATTCTGGGCTCCCATGTCACCTCTTTAAAGGCGCCTTTCCTGACCATCTTATTTAAATGCTCAGCTATCTCCACCCATCACTGCTTCTTTCATAGCACTTGTCACCCTCAGAAATCATTTCATGTTGACTTGTCTATTGCCTTTCTCCCTATCAGATTGCAAGGTGCAAGACACTTTCCCTGCCTCATTCTTTCCAGTAGCAACAGCATGTATGTACTCAATTCAGATTTGGTAAATGTGAGATAAAGAAAAGCAATCCCTGGAATCAGGAACTGGACTGATATTTGACTTAGTATTGTTAAGAAGTGGCTGTGGTATTCCTTCATTAAAACATAAGCATCTTACAAACATCGGACAAGGCCATTCTGTGATCATGATGAAGTACAACTAACAAAGTTATTCAATGATCTTGCCTAAACACAGATAAAAACAAGGTCACTGTGCAAATTACAAACTACCCCCCTCCCAGCTAATAATGTGTATGATTGTTGCTTCTTGGCCAGTTACAGCTTTAGCCTTGTGTTTTCCCTCCCTCCTTCTAGGTACCATGTATGATGATGCCTGATGTTAGAATTATCCCCACTTGCTAATCAAACCTTTATTTCCTTGAACCTCTCCCCAAATCACCAATTTTGAGCCCCAATCGTATGAGTTATTCCTACCCTGTATGGAGATGACTCATAATTCCCATGATAATATGTTCTCCCTCGTTGCAACAAGTAATAAACCTAGCATTCTCGTTTACAAGTATGTTCCTGGCGGTCTTTTGGCAGGAAAATATTGGCAAATGAATGCCCTTCATGACAGCTCACAATGTAGAGGTGGATTCTCTGCCACAAACAATAATTTCAACATGTACTAATCGTCTTCTGAACTTCATGGTCCCTAAGTTCCTTCTTTTTTTTTTTTTTTTTTTTTTTTGCAGTTTTGGCTGGGGCCAGGTTTGAACCCGCCATCCCTAGTATATGGCGCCGGTGCCCTACTTCTTGAGCCATAGCCGCCACAGCGGTACCCTGTTCCTTTTAATGGTTTTGTTTGTTTGTTTGTTTGTTTCAGTTTTGGGCTGGGGCTGGGTTTGAACCCGCCACCTCTGGCATAAGGGGCCTGTGCCTTACTCCTTTGAGCCACAGGCACCACCTGGTACCCAGTTCCTTTTAACCAAAGATTTTTGTTCCTTTGTCTAGGTCTGAATAGCAATGATAATGCTACTCCCACTCTCTCTCCGCTCATCTTTTTAAACTAGAGAGGAAGAAAATGTAAGTATAAAACTAGATTTTTGACAGAAACTCCTTTGCTAAGTCTACACTCCCTAAAGTAACCGATTGTGTTCCTCCTCGTCCTTTTAAAACTGTCATTTATCACAAAAATGAAAAAGCAAATGTTCAACGTGCCCAAAACTAATAAGAATCCAGGAGGTGATCTAGTTCCTGCTCACATAAGAGAAAAACTCATTTCAATTCAAGTTGGGGGGACGGGGGTTTGGGGTGTTCCCAGTGAATGGTCACAATGTAAGGGTGTATGACACACCTTTTGGGTGCAGGACAGAACTACAAGAGGGAGTCTACCTAATAAATTCAAATATTGTGACTTGGTCGTTCATACCCTCACATTAACTTGAATATATATATATATATATATATATATATTTTTTTTTTAAAGGAAAAAATAAATAAAACTGTCATTTATCTTTCTCTTTATTCTCACACCCACACCCTTTTCATTCTCGTTTTTTTCTGATCAAACTCACATTACTGTTCAGGAAAATAAAGTTTCTCTCCGCTTTCCCCCTCCTTAGCCGCAGCTCAGGTGACAAATACATCTACAATTACTTTTCCACATTCTCTTTAGAGACTTGCCCTCCTTGGGCACCTTCTAAAGTCATTCCAACTGGAACCCTGTCCTTGTACAAGTCCCTAGGTTGGCCCCTGGCGATCCTTCCAAACCAGTACTGGTCCTATCTCCACCTGCCCCACCCAAATGGCCACACACATCCAATTGGAGCCCTGAGCCTAAATGCCATCCATTCCCAGTCATCAGCCATATCCAAATCCCCGCCCCATTCCGCCCCTTCCCTCGGGTCTGGACACTGGGTCTGCCTTGTCGCGTCCGCAATATCTTCAGCCAATGAGCATCAGGAGTCCAAACCCCTTAGCCAATCCCGGGCCACAGCCAGGCCCGCCCCGTCGCGCCCCCCCACTCCCGCCCTGCCTGCTCATCCGGCGCCACCCACTCTAGAGAGAAGGAGCGTTCAGCCAATGCGCGCCCCGTGTCGTCCGCGCACACGTCCGAACCCCGCCTACCCAGGCCTCCAGCCCCAGCGAGACTCGAACCTCAAAAGCGAGGTTGCTGAGCGTGAGCGAGGTGAGCGCGGCGAGGGGCGGCGCCTCAGTGCAGAGGGACTACAAGGGCTCCGCCGCGAGAGGAGGAGTGTGCGACCCACTGTCCGCCTCGCGAGTGACCGAGCTGGGGGAGGACTCGGGCTGGACCTCCGGTGGGACTCGGGCTCGCCCCGCCGGACTGAGGTGCAAGTGAGTGGCCGGGAGGACTGCGGGGATCGCTGCAGAGGGTCGATCCTGCAGTTAGCACACTTTCTTTTGGAGGGGAATGGTGCCGAGGAAGGAACGGCTGGACTCTTGTCATTCTCTTGCCCTTTTTTGCTCTTGGTTTTTGCAGTTTGGGCGTTTAGAAAGCAATCTGGTGTGGATGGCTGGGATTTTTTTATTTGAAAAGGAAACAAAGTCTTGTTTTAACTTGCCATATAGATGAATGTTAGTGGAATCCAGAAGTTTTAGTTAAAAGAGAAAAGTAGTCCAATCTGCTGCTCTTGGAATCCCAGCGGCTCTAGCAGTCCAAGCCCCCAGCCACCGCGTGTCCGACCTGTGGGCTCCTCCGCAGCTACCTGAGCCGAGAATTGTCACCGTGCCGCTGGCATTGGGAGCTCCGGTTGCAGATCGATCTTCAGAAAGTTTTACCCTGTGTGCTAAAACCTAATCCCTGCTAACTCCCAATCAGGGAGCCATACTTACTCCTGGAATGAGTATGCCTGGAATAGTTTCCCGGACCCATTTTGACAGAACAGGTTTTCAACAATTTCGGGCTCTGTCTTCTTAAATCTTGGGTCGACTAACTGGCTGATTTTTTCCACTCTGGCTTTGAAGCCTGTCCTTCTCACTGTACTTCCCCAAGCAGTACCTTGTTCACCTTCTAGACGCCCTGTGTTGTATCAGTAACCTTATAAGCATTCTAGAAGTGGATTAACAGCATGATAGGAAAATAATCTTTCCCTTGGTCGGACGCTTGTGGCAGTGAGGGTTGTGCTTTGTTAGCGGTAGCCCTTGCCTTGAGCTTGCAGTTAACCCAGATGCTCTGAGCTTTATCAAATAATCTAAATCTCTTCCTACCCCTGCTCCCGGCAGTGTTTATTAAGTGTTTATTTGGTGATAAATTTAAAGCAAATCCAGAGCTTAGTTCATTTTAACTGCTTTGTCTGCCTTTTAGCTTTGGATTCTCCCCCCACCCCCACCCCATCAGTTTACCAGCCTGCTCAGCTTCAGGCCATCCCAAAATCTGAATCTTCATTTTAAAACATCTGTTCCATTGATAACATATCGACCATTTAACTTCCTGTTAATCATGTGTATTTGAGTATGGAGTTTACCCAATGTAAATATACTATGATTAGATTGATTAGATCTCCCTGATTAAAATATGCCTGTTTTTCTTCACAGAAATTGCTTTTAGGGAGAAACTAGGAAAGCACAGTGAAAATATTGTTTGGAATTAAAAGCCATATGCCTTTTGATCTCCAACTTTTTCAACACCCAAATGTATTAATTTATTTGGCTTATTGGTGAATGTACATATGCAATGTTAATTGTATTAGAAAGCGCGGTTCAAATGTGTTTATTTAAAGTACAGGAAAAAAATAACTTGCTTCAAAAGGTCTGAATCTGCATCTGTAAGCCTGCTTAGAATTCTTGGGAGCAGTTTTTCCATTCATGCTCCCAGGTTTTTTTCACAATGAGACTACCTAGTGAGAGAGTAATGAGTGAGATGAGAAGAGGGCCTACGTCTGGGCTTGTGAGGAATTTCCATCATATGATGGGGGATTGTGGTGGAGGTAGGAGGAAAATGAGGGATTGTAATAGTCACAAACCAAGGGAACATGGGGTTTCTGGGGAGGCGGCTTGGTTGGCAGTATCTACAGCTTCTGGGCGCTCAGGGAAAAATGAGAGTTGCAAAATTACTGTTCAACTTAACAATAATAAAGGTCAAAACTGACTTTAGCAAGAGCTGCCTTTAGGAAGCAATGGGTGCAAAAGTCAGATTACACTGGGTTGTGGGGTGGAGATTGAGGTAGTTAAATGACCCAGGGGGAGAAGGTAGAGTCAGAGATCTATTTTTTGGTTTTGGCCGGGGCTGGGTTCGAACCTTCCACCTCCGGCATATGGGGCTGCCGGCTCCCTATTCCTTTGAGCCACAGGCGCTGCCCCCTTTTTCTTTCTTTCTCTCTTTTTTTTTTTTTTCATGTGCTTTCCTTTATTAAATTTTACTTACATTCTTTAAGGGACAAATAGGCTGTAGTGAAGAAATCTTAATTTTATAAGAGAGTTAAGAAACCAGTAAGATATGTCCAGGTATTATCTTTAGTGATGTTTCTTATCTTTGTTCTGGGACTCCAGATAATATTCAGCCCCTAGAGCTACCCCAAATGCAGCAAATCCCCACTTGAATCCTTTTAATAAGGCACCAACAAAGGAGACATTGTTTGTAAAGCCACCCATGTATCTCCAAGCTTCATTTCGGCGCCATGGATCCCTTGGCCCTGTGCTGCCAGCTCCTCTTGAACAGTTTCTAATGGTGTCCCTTCTATCTTCCATTGTGTATAATCTGAAAGTTCCATTTTCCTATGTCCATATCCGTGGGCCATAACTCTTATTCCTAGTCAAGAGGTCTCTCACCAAATCCCTAATTTAATGTCTGGCAGCCTGACCTCTCAGGCCACTCAGCACTCCTGAGAGCTGTTTTTGTTTTTTTTAACCAGAAGAGATTAAGAAAGGTAAGATGAACATTCAGTAGAAATGGGTGATGATCAACTGAGCAAGGTCTCTGTACAGGTGGAGGGAATGAGATCTAAGTGGTAGGAGAACGGTTAAGGAAATGACCTTCCTTTTGAATCCTAGAAGGGAAGAAGCAAGGATTTTTTTTAGATTTGGCTTCTAAGATTTGGGCAACTTAAGAGAGGACCCATCTAATGGCTTCTATTTTCTCTGTGATAGAAAGCAGTGTCAGGCTGGGCACAGAGACGCATGTCTCTAATCCTAACACTGTAGGAAGCCATGGTAGGAGGATCCCTTGAGCTCAGGAGTTGGAGACCAACCTAAGCAAGAGTGAGACACTATCTGTACTAAAAATAGAAAAATCAGCTGGGCACCTGTAGTGCCAGCTACTTAGAAGGCTAAGGCAGGAGGATCCCTTGAGCCCCCCAGGAGTTTGAGGTGCTAGGCCCACTGCAATCTAGCCTGGGCAAGAGTGAAACTCTGTCTCAAAAAAAAAAAAAAAAACAAAAAAGACAGTAAGGTCATCTACTTGGAATGAAGATAACGGTAGAGAATTTTAGGTTATAAGAGTGTGGGGAAAAAATTATCATTTTGAACTATGGGAGAGAAGTATTACCTATGGGAGGGTGTTTGGGGTCAATCTGAGATTGATGACCATGAGTCTGTGGTGAAACCAATTACCCCGTGCGAGTTTCTCCAGCAGTCTGTGGCTGTCAGGACAGGAGAAACAAGACACTGCTGTTGGATTTATCCAAGACCAGGGTTTGACAGATGCAAAGATGGGCAAGGAGGGTTAGGGCATTGTCACAAGCATTGTTGAAGAAGTGGAGCTCCATGTGAACTGGGCAAACAAGGAAGGTGAGGACTGACTGGGGAAAAGGCAGCTTCCTGGAGATGCTGATGATACTGAAGAGTACTGATAGTTTGAAAAATTAAGAAAATTGAAAGGATTGGCAGTTTATGGTCAAAGAGCAGAATGTTTCAATTATTTGGAATCAGACCAGATTGAGGTAATGGCAAGGTTCAGGGTATAACTGTAGGGGAGAGTTATAAGGCAGGATGGAAGATAGGACCCGTGATGTGAGGGTGCCAGGTGTTTGATGGTTCGTCTCTGAAGACATTACAACTATCTAAGACAATCACGAGTACTTGAGGTTTAGAAAAACAGCACCCTATGCTCCTAAATGATAAATCCCTACTGAATGGCAGGCAGTCAGGAGATCAGGTTGGGAGATAACATCCATGAGGCTGTTGAGACATAACAATCTGGAGTAGTGAAATAGCAAGAAAGGGGTAGGTGAGACAACATGGGTGCTATACTTAAAAACAACATATTGCATGAGGTCTGACAGTTAGTTTCAAGAACTCATCCTAGACAAAGTGCTACATACTTCATTGCTGAATATCACTACCATCACCTTTGAAGCTATACACTCCACTTGGAAAGCTGTACACTGAAGCCAGCACCTAGGCCCCCCTTTAAAGTAATTTTGGAACTCTTTTTCTGCAACAGTCATCAAAGCTGTCATCGAATTATGTCTGATGTCCTGAATGTCATCAAAATGACTTCCTTCCAATATTTTATCTTCAGGTAAAGAAAGAAGTCACGGGGGCTGGATCAGGTGAGTAGGGAGGGTGTTCCAATACTTTTATTTGTTTACTGGCAAAAACTCCCTCACAGACAGTGCCGTGTGAGCTGGTGCATTGTTGTGATGAAAGAACCCATTTTTGCACACACTTGTCTTTTCTTTTTTTTTTTTTTTTTTGAGGTAGAGTCTCACTATGTCACCCTTGGTAGAATGCCGTGGTGTCACAGCTCACAGCAACCTCAAACTCTTGGGCTTAAGCAATTCTTTTGCCTCAGCTTCCCAAGTACCTGGGACCTCAGGCACCCACCATAATGCCCAGGTATTTTTTTGTTGTAATTGTCATTGTTGTTTGGCAGGCCTGGGCTGGGTTCAAACCTGCCAGCCCTGGTGTATATGGCCAGTGCCCTACCCACTGAGCTATGGGTGCCAAGATTTTTGCTTAAGATTTTCCAAACTATTTCTCTATCGATATTCACTTGGTCTACTATGCTTCTCATAGCCATCCAATGATGTTGACACACAATTTGACAAACGTTTGTGACGTTTTCCTCAGTTCTGCTCATTACTAGCCACCCTGACCTCTCTATCAGTGATGCTTTCTCTCCCCTCAGAAAAACATGGGATCTACTGGTACACTGCTGTTTTCTTCATGGCACTATCCCCATAAACGTGGATTAAGATATCCTTGATTTTGCTTCCACTCTTGCCAAGTTTAACAAGACATTTAATATTTGTCCATTGCTCTAATTCAAGCTCCAACATTCTTGCCATACCGGTTACACAAAAAACAATAATGAACTCTACAGTGTCAGCAAGACATTGCCACATATTGCCACAAACACAGCTGTGAGACACTGATATACCAAAGTTACAAAACCTTACCAAGTTGCTTCTACAGTGCTGCCAACGTAAGCACAGGGTGAGGAGTTCACGAACTTAATTGTCAGACCTCATATACTTGAACAGTGCTAAGACAGATTTTATATGTATCAAGGACCTACTGTCATCCATCTTTTTAAACAACTTTCTAAATAACCTGTTTCTAACAACTTTAATGTTATAAAGTTTGCTTTTCTGGTGACCATATCCAGGTGATTCTGAAATGTGAATAATTCCGAAATTGAAATATTCTGGATTCTATCATAGCTGCTAGACAATGGAACTTTTACTTACTGAAGCTGAATACGCTTTACTAAATTAAAGCCTTATTTTAAAATTCAGGATATCCTGAATTTTAATTTAATTTTAATTTTAATGTCTAAGTTAAAATGACATAAGTACTACTCAGCCATTAAAAAGGAATGAAATAATGTCTTTTGCAGCCTGGATGAAATTAGAAGCCGTTAATCCTAAGTGAAATATCTCAGGAATGGAAAAACAAATTCATGTGCTCTCTAATAACTGGGAATTAATCAGTGGATGGTCACATACAAGCACAAAGAGATGTAAAGGTCATAGGAAATCAAGGGGTTGGGAGAGGGTAACAATTACCTACCTACCTGTTGGGTAGAATGAACACTATCTGGGTAATGGGCACACTAAAGGCCTCAACTTAAGCATTATAAAAGGTATCCATGCAACCAAATAAACAGATGAATAAAATGATGAGTATAGATTTGTATGAGACAAGCAGGAATAAATTTATTAGAATGATTCTACTGATTAGAGATCATATCATAGAAAACTTGAAAGATTAATAAAAACCTCAGTTATCCAAAATTCTTATTTATATTTTATATAAGCTCATGTTCTTTCAGCTAGCTATAAATTTCTGATGGCAATGTAACTATCAAATATTTACTCTTCTTTCAATTTTTCTTTTATTCTCTAGCATGTTTTTGGCTCTTGGCAAGGGAGCAAAATTTCTGAGGACAATTTGTTCTTCAAAAATCCTTGGATTCTCTACTTCTGCTGTAGGTATTGCTTATTACTTATAGATAACTTACTATACATATTCTGCAATATCCCCCCCTAAAAAAAATGTATTTTTTTAGGTTCCTTTTTTATTGATAATTTTATTGGAATGAATCCTTCTATTGGATACACTAAAGGCATCTCTTGTCATTGACTAGAATCGACGTTCGCAGAACGACTAACCAGAACACCACACTCACCCTTGTCTGGTTCTAGCATGCTGCAGGGCCTGAGCTCTCTATTCAGCAAGGGATACCATAGAGACAAAAGCATAGGCTCTGTGACTTCCAATTTTTAGGAAATAATCTCATCATATGTCATCATGGAAAACCAAATAGAAAAATCCAGAATGTGTATCACATGATGGACAGATAACTGACCTAGTTAACCTCTAAAAGTCAGTGGCATGGGGGAAAGGAGAGGGTGGAGAATTAACTTAGACATTAGTAAAGAGGGAGCGTTACAAGGGGGCTCAGGGCAGAAAGAGGTTTAAGAACCATAACCACCAAACACAAGGCATGGACCTTGTTGAGGAACTTGGTTCAATCATCCAAAATGATGCAGAAAGATATTTTTAAACAGAAATATGAACATGGACTGGGTATTAGAAGATAACAAGAAATTATTGTTGATTAGGTGTGGTGGTGACATAGCAGTTATGTAACAAAGAGTCAATATTTTTTAGATGTATATGCCAAATGTGTAGAAGTATAATGACTTCAGGTCCAGGATTTGCTTTAAATTACTAAGCATTTAAAGAAAAGAAAGGAAAAAGGGAAAAGAGAGATAAGCAAATGATGTAAAATCTTGATAATTTTTTAATTCAGGGTAATGTGTATATGCGTATTTAACATTAGGTTCAATCATATGAAATGACCAATTTCGTAGGTCAAAAATGGTTGAATATTGGCAATTTTTTGTTGGTCAACCTAACTCTCATCTCTCCATGTTCAAGTAGGCTTGAAATTTTATGAAAGCTGTCATGACCGTCTTATATATGTAAATACTATGAATTTTACCTCATAAATGTCTAGAATTCTCTCTCCTCTTTATTGCCACCATGACTACTTTGTTTGTTTGTGTGTTTGTTTGTTTTTTCCAGCCCTAATACTAGTGCTTTTGATGTTTAACTGAATTAAGATCTGTGGGCTTGAAAGCTCTTTGCATAAAACAACCTTGGAAATTGTGCTTAAAATGTAGGTGTGTCTTCCAGGGCACATTCTAAGGCAGAGGCAGGAGGATCACTTCAGCCCAGGAGCTCAGCTGGGCATGAAAGTGGCCAAGATCTGAATTTACCACTCTTCCTGGTACAGAAATCCTAACAGAAAGGCTTGGCCCAGATCTTTTTTTTTTTATATTTACCCCAAACAAATTCTTCCAAGGCTGGACCCAGATCTGAATTTACCACTCTTCCTGGTACAAGTGCCTAATAGAAATGAGCTGTCTCTCAGCCTCAAATCCAAATTTCCGGTTTCCTGAAATTTCCTGATTAGTTTAACCTTTGTCCAGCCCTAGTCCAGCTAGCTGTGACTGAGGGCAGGGTGGTAGAGGGGCAGAGGGCTCAGGCCTATTGAGATCAGTGTGGACAATGCTCACTCATTCTTTTATCTTTGCTTAAAGCCATTTTTTTTTTTTTAAGAAATTAAATCCTGTTTCCAGCAAGCTCATTTCTCTAAATTATTGTTTAAAGATAATTTTCAGGCTCGGCACCTGGAGCTCAGTGGCTAGGGTGCCAGCCACATACACCAGAGATGGTGGGTTCAAATCCAGCCCAGGCTTGCCAAACAACAGTGACAACTACAACCAAAAAATAGCCATGCATTGTGGCAGGCACCTGAAGTCCCAGCTACTTGGAGGCTGAGGCAAGAGAATTACTTAAGCCCAAGAGTTTGAGGTTGCTGTGAGCTGTGATGCCACAGCACTCTACCCAGGGTGACAGCTTGAGACTCTGTCTTAAGATATAATAAAATACAAATAATTTTCAAAGAAAGGTTAAATCATGACTCATAAATATGAAAACGAGCATATGTTAAAGATTTTTATCTTACCCATGTGATGTGAGGGAACCAGACAAAAGTTATAACCAGTTCAAAGGGAAGGTCAAGGCCAGGGGCAATGACTCATTCACACCTATAATCCCAGCACTCTGGAAGGCAGAGGCTGGAGGATCACTTCAGCTCAGGAGTTCAAGACCAGCCTGAGCAAGAGCAAGATCCCATCTCTACTAACAATGGAAAAATTACCTGGGCTCTTTGCAGGCACCTGTTAAAAATACAATATAAAAGATAAAAAGTGATATATCTATATGGGGTACTCACCATGAATACAGCTTGCAGGAATGAAAGTTGCTCTGGGTGAATCAGTGAGTGAGTGGGCTGTTAATGTGAAGGCCTCGGTCATTACTGCGCACTACTGTAGGCTTTATGTATGCTATATAGTAAGGCTGCACTAAATTTATTTTTTAAAAAAATCTTTCTTCAATAATAAATGAATCTTAGCCAACTGCAACTTTTTTTTATCTTAAAGACATTTTAATTTTTTAACTTAATTGACTTTTGTAATAACACTTAGCTTAAAATACAAATTGTACAAAATATTGTTATTTGTTAAAAATATTTTCTTTATATTCTTATTCTATACGCTTTTTAATCTTTTTAAAACCTTTTTTTAACTTTTAAAACTTTTTTGTTAAAAACTAAGATACAAATACACACATTACCCCAGGCCTAGGCAGGATCAGGATTATCAGTGTCACCAATTTACAGCTCCAACTCTTGTCCCACTGAGAGGTCTTGGGGGCAAAAACATACTTGGAGCCTTCATCTCCTACAATGCCTTCTTCTTGAAGAACCAGATAAAATGTTTAGGGTGCCAGCAAAACAACAACAAAAAAATAGCCAGGCATTGTGACCGGCATGGCATCTATAGTCCCAGCTACTAGGGAGTTTGAGGCAAGAGAATCACTTGAGTCCAAGAGTTGGAGGTTGTTGTGAGCTATGATGCCATGGCACTCTACTGAGGGTGACAAAGTGAGACTGTCTCAAAAAAAAAAAAAGTATAGTATATAAATACATAAACCATTCGTTTATTATCATTATCACGCATTATGTGCGGTCCGTAATTGTATGTGCTACACTTCTATATGATTGGAGGCACAGTGGGTATGTATCAGCATTGCCGGGAACATTTGAGTAATGTGCACGGACATGATGTAACATCAGCTAGACATCACTAAGCCATAGAGATTTATAATCTTATTATTCATTCTATAATGAATTATAATTCATTATAATCGTAGGACCAAAATAACATGCAGCACATGACTCGGTGCGTGTCATACATATCTGCCGTGCCTCACCCCCAGGGCCATGGTTAATGCTGATCCATGGCCTGTTAGGAAGTGGGCTGCCCAGTAGTATGCAAGCAGCAGGGTAGCCAAGGAACCTTCATCTGCATTTATGGCCTCTCCGCTTCACTTGCATCACTGCCTGAGCTCCCACTCTGTCAGATCAGCAGAATCAGATTCTAATAGGAGCACCAACCCTACTGTAAACTGCACATGCGAGGGATCTAGGTTGTGTTCTCCTTCTGGGAACCTACCGCCTGATGGTCTGAGGTAGAGCTGAAGACAGAAGCAACACATTTTAGGTCTCACTCTCTCCTGTCACCTCCAGATGGGACCCGTCTAGTTGCATGAAAACAAGCTCAGTGCTCCCACTGATTCTGCATTTTTATCTTGTTGGCACTCCCCCTTCACATAAACTTAAATGGAAGGGAAGCAGAGCAGAGACCATATAATTAAGTGCACAGTGTACCTTACCTACAATTGCAAAGCACTGCAAATAACAAGTGCCTAACAGTAAGGAAATGAATGAGTAAAGCGTGATGCATAAATAACCTGAAATATACTTAATAATTAAAATGAAAAGTGTATGATGACTTAAGAAAATTCATCAAGTACTTAAGATTGTAGTACTCTGTTACCAGAAAATGAAAAAAATTTTCAGTTACACATAATTGCAGTTATAAATGCCTAGAGAGAAACTGGCCACCCCCCCAGCCAGGCATCATATGAAAGCAGGGCCCATCATGCTGGTACACACTTTCTGCCCCTTCCTAGTCCTGGAGTGCTTATGTCCACCTGGTTTTCAAGACTGATTTTTTTAAATTTATTTCTTGTTTTTTTATATTAGCGAGGTACAAGTACAAGTTTTCAACATTGATATGTTATACAGGAGCAAAGTCAGAGTCTTCAATTCATCCATCACTGGAGCAGCACAAGCTGTACCCTCTAAGATAAGCCCAATCTTTTCTGTTTTCACTTTTCCAACCATTACCTTTGCAGTTTCTATTTCTGGCTTTTTCCTGTACTGAATATTGTTGTTAGATTTTATATTATATATATATATATATATTTTTGGTGCTGTGACCTTGGCTTCTCTGAATGAAGACTTGATTCACAGCTGGTACTATGCAGATGTCAACATCTTTGATTTCCCTAGCTTCACCCCACCATATGGGAAGATTATTTTCTGCACCTGTCCTATCCCACTTACTGCATCAGATCTCATAAGAAGAGTCCTCTAAATATATACAATTGAAACCTTCAACTTGATATGCTAAGGTCTCAGAATCATAAGTAGTAGCTTTTTTTTTTTAATCTTACTAAACTTTGCTTGTTCCAGCACAATTGTAGTAAATGTTTTAAAGACCGAATAATCTTTTCTTCCTGTTTACCAATAGCACCACCTGGTGGTGAATATGTACAACCACATTTTTAAGCCTCAAGTTAACAAATGAAAGATTAAAAAGATGAAACTTTACTAGCAGTTTTGCACTAATAACATAGTATAAATAAATTGGGTGTGGTAGCTCTCCTATAATCCCAGCAGTTTGGGAGGCCAAGGCAGGAGGATTTCTTGAGCCCAGCAGTTCAGGACCAACCTGAGCAACATAGCCAGACCCATCCCCTTCTCTACAAAAAAATTGTAGCCAGGCATGGTGGGTGTATGTGCCTGTTGTCTAGACACTCAGGAGGTTGAAGTGGGGGATTACTTAAGCCCAGGAGTTCGAGGTTACAGTGAGCTGTGATCTAACCACTACCCTTAAGCCTGGGTGACCATGAGACCTCGTCTCTAAAAAACAGTAAAAATAATAACATAGTAAAACAGTATAACTATAACAGACCTTTAATCTACCTAGTAGCAAAAGTCACCTCACAGAGTTAGCTAATCCAGAAGTAATACAAGCCTTACAGATGTTCTCTTGTATACTTGAGGCTCATGCCTCATTCCCCATGGGGTTCCAGGTTTGTTTAAATCCCTGGTCCTAGATCTACTCTGAGCATTTCGTGTACTGCTGACTCTTGGTGTCTTTGGACATTGTAGGGTGTATCATAAGCCTACACCAGTGTATTTGTTTACTTGGGTTGCCTTCACAAAGCACCACAAACCAAGCACCTTAAACAACAGAAATTCACTCCCTCACAGTTTAAGGAGGCTAAAAATCTGAGATTAAAGCATCAGCAACGTTGCTTCCTTCTGAGAGCTGTAGGGAAGATCATTCTCTACCCCTCCCCTGTCTTCTGGTGATTTCCTGGCAATTTTCGGCGTTCCTTGGCTTGTAGAAGCATCACCCTAATCTCTGCCTTCATCTTTGCACGGTGCTCCCCCTGAGTCTGTGTCTCTGTCCACATTTCCCCTTTGTGTCAGGACACCAGTCATACTGGAGCAGGGCTCACCCTAATGACCTCATCTTAACTAATGCCACCTGCAGTGACCCTGTTTCCAAATGAGGCTACATTCTGAGGTGCTGGGAATCAGAACTTCAACACAGGGGACTGAGAGGGGCACAGTGCAGCCAGATGTCATTTCTGCCACATTTTTCACAATTACTTATTGTTCCTCCCTGCTAGTTATATTTCCTTGCCTCGTTGATGTGAAGCTTAGCCATAAAATTCCTTTGGCCAATAACAAATGACATGTGTGGACATCCAAAGAAACTGCTTTATCAGCCTCTATGTCAGAATGATAATAACATGGAACAGAGCAACAGCTGGACTTGGGTGGATATGCAGTATGAGCAAGAAAGCCTTTATGATTTTAAGTCACCAAGACTTCAGGGACATTTCTTACTGAAGGACAGAGTAACTTAAGCTAACTGACACTGTAACTTCACTCTAATGTGAGTGGGGTTTTTTCATTCATTTGTCAGATATTTGTTGAAACCTTGCCCAGGGCTAGGCGTAGTGCTTTGCCTTGAACACGGATGGTGTCAACCTGGCTAGGCCTTGGCACCCAGATATTTGCCAAACGCCAGCTTAGGTGTTACCGTTAAGATATATTTTAGGTGAGATTGCCAATTTAAGTTGGTGGAGCTTGAAGCAAAGCTGATTAGCCTATGTAGTGTGGGAGGGCCTCATTTAGTTGAAGGCCTTAGGAGAAAAAAGATTGAGATCCCCAAGGAGAAGAGAAGTCTGCCTTCAGACTCCAGTTTCAGTTCTTCCCTGGGTCTCTGGCCTGCAGCCTGCCCTGTAAATTCCAGATTTTCCAGCCCCTGTAATAGCATGAGCCGATTCCTTACAATAAACCTCTCACACATTCTGCTGGTTCTGTTTCTCTGGAGAACCCCGACTAATAAAGTCACTCATTAGTGAACAAGTTATTCTCACAGTCTAAGGGAAGATTCAGACAAACAAACAGAAAACTGTAATATTATGTAGTAAATTCTAGAAAGTACAGCAGACCTTCTAATAACATCATTTTTTTATAATACTATAAAAAAAATTGAGATGAGAAAAAAAATTATTCCCAGCCAGAGCCACTGTCTGTGTGGAATTTGTATGGTCTTCCTGTGTCTACATGGGTTTGTCCTGGACACTCGGTTGCCTCTCACATTCTAAAGATATGCACATTAGGTTAATTGGCAGAGCTAAATTTTCCCAGTATCATTGAGGGGGTATGTAGGGGGAGTGCACCCCGCAATGGGATTATGCCCCCTCAGGGCTGGCTCCCAGCACAGGCTGCAGCCACCTGTAGCCCTGAACTGGAATAATCAGGTAAATAATCATCTTACTTGTTTTTATTAATCTTTTTTAAATATAGGTACAGCTCACATTTTGTTTCAATATTTAATCTTAGAAGTGTTTTGGTCTTCATTTAGAAGTTTAGTGACAATTGTTATTGTAGCCAGCCACAGGAACTTAACTCTTGTTTATATCAGTTACCCTGTCTAAAATTGGTCTCTTTATACATCGTCTCACGTAAAGTTCAAGTTTCCAAGAGTCTGTCAATGCCAGTAAATGAAGACTTACCGTACTGCACTTGGTAGGAACACACAGAGGGAGACTTGATCTTGACTTGTGGAATAGAGAAGGCTTTCAGAGGAAATGAAGTCGAATGTGGGAGCTGTAAATGGCAGGTGGAACAGGAGTGAGTCAAGTGCAGGGACAGTGTGGTGGGGACTGGGATTGGGCTAAGTAGAGAACACATATTCTCAACAAGGGATTTATTACAATTGTGGCTATACAAAAGTCAATCCTGTCTGACCAAAATCTTACTCCCTTTTTTTCTTTTAATTGAGACTCTTGGGTAGAGTGCCATGGCATCATCATAGCTCACAGCAACCTCAAACTCTCAGGCTCAAGAGATCCTCCTGCTTCAGCCTCCTAAGCCTGCTACAATGCCTGGCTAATTCTTCCATTTTTAATAGTGGCAGCATCTCACTCTTGCTCAGGCTGGTCGTGAACTCTTGACCTCAAGTGATCCTCCTACCTCAGCCTCCCAGAGTGCTAGGATTATAGGCGTGAGCCATTGAGCCTGGCCTCAAAATCTTATTCCTTAATATTTAACAGAGAGAAGAAGGATGATTAGGGAAAAAATGTATAAGAAGGCTCCTTAGGGGGTCAATGATAAAAAGAGAGTGAGAGGGTGGTGCCTGTGGCTCAAAGGAGTAGGGCACTGGCCCCATATAGCAGAGGTAGTGGGTTCAAACCTGGCCCCAGCCAAACACTGCAGAAAAAAAAAAAAGAGAGAGAGTGAGAAACATTGGTATAGAAAGACTGTTTGGGCTGAGGAAAGATCACATATGAAGCTGCAGATGTGAGACAGAGTGTGAACAATCTGAAAAATCAGAAAGTTTGGGCATAGAATGGGAAGGAAGAGCAGCGAGAGAAGAGGGTAGTATAGATGAGATTTTAAGGAAAATTAAATCAGAAAATGCATTTTGACCTCAATTATCTAAATAATTTTAAGTAAAATTGGACTTTGCCTACATTATCGATAGCACACCATGCTCTCATTTTTATATATAAATCTATCTTTTGTGTTTGTGGTCACATACCGAATGAATCATTAGGCTTTAAACATTGTTTTAGAGATAGCAAAGGGCATTTGTTAAAATACCCATTTCAATCTTGCAGGCTGGCACTTTTTATTCTTATAATTGTAGCCTGTAGAGGAGCTTCTCACTCAGGAGTGCACTTAGTCATAATGCTGTTCCAGAAGGCACTTCCACCGCTGGAGAATTTCCTGTGATTTACTTTACTGGAGTTTCAAAGATTAAAAATATGAGGCCAAAAGAAGTATTATTCTGAGTCCTGTTATTGGGAATAGAATGAGAACAATGGTCTATTTAATAATCATTATCATTATCTTCCTCCCAGATTGAATTAAAATTACTTTAATATTCTGTTGGAGAATTCTTTGCAAAAAGGGCTGTCAATCTTTCTTTTTATTTCCACCAACTTGTTAATAATGAGCTCAAAGCTAATTCAATACTTTGTAGCGATAGTATAAACTTAATTTTAGAATCTGAAGAACTAAAAAATTAAATGCTGTATGATAATTTTAACTTCTAATGTTTTCCTAGCACAGCCTTAGTTTGACTGATGTAAGTAGACCTAACTAAATTTCTAACATACCTTGAAAAGGCAGGAGTCCAGTAATTTTTTTGGAAGGTCTTATGTGAAAGACAGTACAAGAGAACAGTTCTGAGTATGGGTTCTAGAGTCACACTGCCTGGGTTCAAATCCTGGGTTGAACCTGTCTGGGTTTAAATATTACTAGCATTGATAAATTCGAGCAGATTGAATGTTATGTGCTCTTATCTTTCTGTATGCCACTTTCCTCATGTGAATTGTAGGTCATGATGGAACTACCACATAGGGTTGTGAAGGTAAGTTGATGAGTTAATATATGTAACACACTCAGAACAGTACCAAGTATGCACTTGGTACTCAATAATGTTAGCTAGTATTATCTGTGACCCCTTACCATTTGTTGAGTGCTTCCTGTATGCCATACAAGGAGCCTACTTGTGAAACTCTTAATACATCTTACCTAAAGTGATCTTCAGAGCATGGCTCAAGATTCTTTTTTTTTTAGTATATTTGAGGCCCTTAAATTGAGCAGATTTTTAGGCTAGGATGATACTTTTCATCTTTATATGAGAAGATGAACATCTAAAATTTGCTTTTCTTTTTTTCTTTTTGAGGCAGAGTCTCACTCTGTTGCCCTGTGTAGAGAACCATGGCATCATAACTCACAGCAAACTCAAACTTTTGGGCTCAAGTGATCCTCTTGCCTCAGCCTGGGACAATGGGCTCCCGCCATAATGCCTGGCTATTTTTTTTAGAGATGGGGCCTCGCTCTTGTTCAGACTAGTCTAGAACTCCTGAGCTCAGGTAATCCACCCGTCTTGGCCTGCTAGGATTACAGGTGTAAGAAGCCACCATGCCTACCTAAAATTCACTTTAAAAAGCATTCCTTCAAGCAGTAGTGGGAGATGGTTCTTCAGAAATTTATATCGGAGTATAGAGTTTATCTTTACAGAACTATTATATTTCTTCCCATGATGACAATACAGAAAAGAGTTACCCAGGATTTCCTGGAAGCTTTGAGTTTTGAGTAAAGCTAAAATTATTTCAATATCTGTATCTTTCAGAAAATGTCTATGAAATTCACAAATGCAAAACGAATTGAAGGACTTGATAGTAATGTGTGGTAAGTACCTTAAAATAAATAATAATAATTTGATGAGGTTTTCCCACATAGTTTTTATATCCTTAGTTGAGAATACTTAGCCTCATTTATAATCTATAAAAAAAGCTTCCCATTTAATACATCCGTTAAATGGAAATGGGAGGATGTTAGTGATCCATACACTGAATTACTCAGGTAGCAGGTGTACTAGGCACTGCACGTCTGGCAGAGAAATGACAGATGTGGTTGCTGCCCTGGCGGAACTTCTAATCCATGAAGTTTTCTTATAAGTTCTATTCTCTAACAGTTGGTATGCAAACCTAGCTGTAGCTAAGTAGAAACATAATATAGATGCACATGGTTATGATATGGGTAGCATGGAGTGAGGTTTGTATTAAACATTAAGTTCATTATATCAGCTATCATTTTATTAGATAAACTCATTTTATGGCAGGTAAACTTTTTGTTGGGAACTCATTATTTTTAAATCCATAAGATTTAACTCAGTCTTCTTTTTCAGTGTTGGAATAAGACTGTATATAATAAGATGTAAACAGGAAATTTTGAAATTGTTGTTACTATTAATGTCAGAGTTTTTTGTTTTTGTTTTTTTTAATCTTAGGATTGAATTTACAAAGTTAGCTGCAGACCCTTCTGTTGTGAATCTTGGCCAAGGACTTCCAGATATATCCCCTCCTTTATATGTAAAAGAAAAATTATCAAAGATTGCAGCAGTTGATAGCCTGAATCAGTATACACGGGGCTTTGTAAGTATGCCAGGCCCTTACTGGGCATGAACTTGTATTTTATATTGTATTGTGTGTGTACTTCTATCAGCTACATGTATGTGACTTTCTGGGACCAACTGTCCCCACCCACAACAACTCCTGCCCTTGCCCTCACATCCATGCTAGGAAGAGCTTTCCCCTACTTCTAACCCCTCCATAGTTCTGATTTGGTCCCTACTTTACTGTTGTTCCAAGATGGGCTATTGTGGCAACAAGGGAAGGAATAATATTCTCTTGAGACATGTCTTTTCTATCCCCTTAACATCTATGTACTTTTAGCACTGATCCCTTAATCAATATACTCTATTTCTTACTAGTTAACTTTCTTTTCTTCTACCCTAGCTCAACTCCTATTCTTTTGTGATGAAATGCCTAGGATATGCAGAGATTTTCTAGACTTAGAAGTACATTTAAACTATATTTCTTTGTCTGTTAACACACTTTTTTTTTTTTTTTTTTTTTTTGGCCAAGGATGGGTTTGAACCTGCCACCTCCGGCACATAGAGCCAGCGCCCTACCCTTTTGAGCCACAGGCGCCACCCTGTTAACACACTTTTCTCTAAAGCCATCCAATTATCATACATCTGAGTACGTCTTTTCCTTCTATGATAGTGTGGAAATGGAAGGGGTATGGTATAGAGGAAGCCTATTTATTTTTTGTATTTTATAATAGTCTATAAAAATGCTATGAAGGGCTTTGTTTTGGGAACGGGAGCACAGGGAAAAGCAGTGAGTCTGACGTGTGTCCCAGGGTTTGACACAGGGTGGGGGAAGGATGGAATCCCTGTTCTCTTATTTGATTCTGTTTTTGAATTTCCTTCTGGTTATTATCCACTTTCTCAGCAATTTCTTTCATTGTTTTTTGTTTGTTTTCCACTTTCTCAGCAATGTCCTTCATTATTTTCATCATATGTATTCTAAATTCCCCTTCTGTCATCTGTAACATTTCCTTATAGGAGGAATCCTCTGCTGTAGCTACCTCGCGACCCCTAGAAGGGGTTACTCTGGACTGGCATTTCATGTTGCCAGGATTTTTCTGATTCTTCTTCATGAGTGCTTTCTTATATCTGTTTCCTTACCCTAATTTTCCTTTCACTTTTTCTTGTTCTACGTTACTATGTTATTGGCCTAAAATTTTAATGAGTCCTTTTGGTACAAGACCAGAAGGATGAGAAGATTGAGGAGCAAGAAGGGAAAAAAGATATTAAAAAAGAAAGGGAGAGAGAAAGAAGAGAGGGTGAGTAAAAGGAAATATTTTTTTTAAAGACACCAAAAGAAAAAGACAAGAATAGTATAGGTGTATAGTAGGGTATTATGACCCACCCTTAAGGACCCCCAATCTCTGAGGGTTCCAGGTTGGGTGATTACCTTGAGGTCAACGGTCTGTGCTAACTGGCTCAGACATAGTACCCCACCTCCACCAGGTAGAGAGGAGAGACCAAAATGCTATAAATCAAACCATAACAAAAAAGCAAAAACCCCTAGTAGGATAAAGTTGAGAGGTTAAAACCAAACAAACAAACAAATAATAGGGGCCGAAACACTGACAAAAATTCTAATTGTTAAAGAAGGCAAAAATGGAAGGTATAGACTTCCATTTATATATATATAGAGAGAGAGACTAGAAAAAATATCAAAAAAAAAAAAAAAAGAAAAGAAAAGTTGAAGTTCAAAAAAAACCCAAAAAAGCAAAAACCCCAAAACCAAAAACAAACAGTATATCTATCTTGCTAAATACTGTCCAGGCAACAGGTGATCTTCTGAGGAGAAGTTAATCCCAAAGTCGATACAGCTGTACAAGATGGAAACTAGAGGCCTCAACTGGTTTCACAGACCCCGCAGGCTTAGGAGCCCCAATGTCTCCTTTTCCCACTTCAAACACCCTCCAAGCCGTGGGCCCAGGCCACGCAGGAGCTTTCCCAGGAAAGCACTTAGCCCTGGGGTCTCTCCTGCCGTGGCTGCCTGCTTATCCAACCCGCCAAATCCAGTTTCCCTCAATGCCCCTGAGGGCCAGGGTGTTAATCTGCCAAGCCTGGCTCTCCGCCGCCCTCCTCCGGCGTCACAGCCCCCGCCTTTGGGCAGCTCAGTCACTAGATCACTGGCCCGAGGACTCCCGCCTGATCCCCGTGCTGCACCCCCGCAGGGGCAGCTCCCCACAGACTGCGCGGGCACCACACAGCTGAATGGCATCAGCTCCTTACCAGCTCAGCAGCTCAGTCCGGGGCCCAGACAGCGCCCAGTCATCCGCACACCGGCCCCAGGTCTCCCAAGGCAGTTCAATGGAGTGTCCAAGTCCAGACGAACCAAAACAGCCCCCAGGCGAGGCTCTTCCCGCTTGCAGTCTCACTTTTGCTGTAGGTACAGCTGCCGGCAGCCTCTGACTGAACAAACGGGCACCCGCTACTTGCCGGTTTTCCACCGCTTCTGACCTCCTGGTGGGGTCCTAAAGTCTCTCACTCACTTCCTGGGTCACCAGAGGTCAGCCTCTGGGCAAAACCCACCGGCTGGAGATGCCTGGAATCTTCTCTCCCCCTTCTCACTGCGCCCGGTTACACAGACGCTGCTACTCGGCCGCCATCTTGCTGCGCGAGGAATCCCCGCTGGGGATGGACTCGGACTCCCTGGCCCACCCTACGGATCCTCATCTCAGATCTGCTCCACCGTCCCCAGCCTATTCAAGTCAGTAAGGAAAGACTAGAAATAAACAAGCAGTTTCCAAAATTAATAAAAGCAAAAGCTAGCTCTTTGAAAAGATCAAGAAGTAAAAGTTTTAGCTCGATTGATCAATAAAAAAGAGAAAACAGGGTGGCTCCTGTGGCTCAAAGGAGTAGGGTGCTGGCCCCATATGCCAGAGGTGGTGGATTCAAACCCAGCCCCGGCCAAAAACTGAAAAAAAAAAAAAAGAGAGAGAGAGAGAAAATAGAAGTCCCATGTAAGGAACAAAATAAAGAATATCATGACAGATGCTACAGCAATAATAAGTAATTTTATATCAATACACTGACAACTTGTATGAAATAAACAAATTATTTAAAAGATGTAAATTAGAAAAACTGACACAAAGAGAAATAAAACACCTGACACTCCCATGTCAATGAAAGAAAGTGAATTAGTAATTAAAATCTCTTACAGGCAAACTTAAATACCCAGATGATTTACTGGTATAGTCTATCAAGGATTTAGGAAGCAGTAATACCATTTCTCCACCAATTCATTTAGAAAATAGAACAGGATGAAAAAAAAAAAAAGAAAATAGAACAAGATGAAAAACTTCCCAACTAATTGACAAAAAGTCACTTACATATAAGTGATAGACCAGCAGTACCCTTATACAAAAGCCAGACAAAAACAAAGAGAGAAAGAAAATTTAAATATCACTCATGAGCATAAACACAGAAATCCTGAAATTTTAGCAAATCAAATTCAGGTAGGGGTGTGTGTGTGTGTGCGTGTAAAGATAAAAAACATCATACATCTTGCCTGAGTAGGCTTTATCATAGAAATGTAATATTGATTTAATATTCAAAAATAAATTATTGAAGTTCAGCAGATTAGTGGAAAAAAACAGAAAAATCATACGATCATGTTAGTGTATATAGAGAAAACACATTTGACAAAATTTAACCCTCATTTATAATAAAAACTTTCTGCTGATTGGGAGTACAATGGAACTTAGTCTGATAAAGTAAATCTTTAAACATTTACAGATTACACGTGTAATCCACATAAAGTAGGTTTGAGAGCACAGCAAGCATCCCCACTTCCACCATTATTATTCAGCAATGAAACAAAAAACTATATAGAGAGGAATGAAAAAGAAAAACAGTTGTAAGGTAAATTTTTAAAGTACCATTTATAATAGCATCCAAAAACATGAAACACCTAAGACTAAATTTGTTAAAATATGTACAAGGTCTGTACAAGAAAATTTCCAAAACATAATGGAGAGAAATTAAGCAATACCTGAGTAAGTGGAGTGATACAGGATGTTCATGGATCAGGAGACTAAGTATTGTTAAGAGGTCAGTTCTCCCAACTTAATCTGTAGCAGGGTTTGGCAAGCAGTTGCCTAGAGGCCAAATTTGGCCCACCCCTGATTTTGTCAATAAGATTTTGTTAGGACACAATTATGCCCATTGACTTATGTATTTTCTGGTTTTTGCAAATATGTAGGTACATATATGTTCATGTGTTTTTATTATATATTGATGTAAGAACTGGGAATGGTGTTGCAATGTCACCAAGCTGAGGACCTCTGTCATCTGAGTGGGATGGGAATGGAGTAATATTGAAGAGAGATTGCAAATTTTTCTTTACACATCTTTGTCTGGTTTTACTTATCATGTAAGGCATAACTTAGTTTTATAATTAAAATTTTAATTTAAAAAACATAAATCTTATTCTCAGGAAAAGTGTATAGTGTTTATAGTTGCTTTTCAGATCTCTTGCTAGAATTTGTTAGACCTGATATCACAGTGAAATTCAAAAGGACTCAGCTTATTCCTCCTGAGTCCAAAGTGCTTTCCAACAAAAGCATAGAACCTGCACTTGCCCTCTTACTGGCATGGGATAGAAAATCAGGGTGGTTCCCCAGAGCAAAATGGGGAAGTAGATACTAGACAAAAAAAAATAAAAAATATTAACTTCAATACCAATGGAAACAAAAGAGGGAAAGGAAAGATAAAAAGAAGGGAAGATAGGAGAACATAGAAGAAAGGAACTAGGGAAGAGCTAATCCAGGAGCTTTAAGACTCCCTGCAGGTCTCGGACACTGCATTTATAATCCTCTCACTCTTAGGAAAGCTTCCCTCTGCTGCCCTCTTGGCCTTCGGTGTGAGTAATGTTTCACTTCCTCCTAACATTTGCTATCAGTTAACATTACAGCAATGTGTGTTTGGTGAATTTGTTTTTGCTTTCTCTCCTCAGTACATTGGTTCACATAACCTTCCCCCTAGTAACTGGGAAGAGCAGATTAATGTACTTTAATTTAGAAACAAAGCTTGGCTTGGCGCCTGTGGCTCAAGCGGCTAAGGCGCCAGCCACATACACCTGAGCTGGTGGGTTCGAATCCAGCCTGGGCCCACCAACAACAATGATGGCTGCAACCAAAAAATAGCCCAGCGTTGTGGCGGACAGCTGTAGTCCCAGCTACTTAGGAAGCAGAGGCAGGAGAATCGCTTGAGCCCAGGAGTTTGAGGTTGCTGTGAGCTGTAATGCCATGGCACTCTACCCAGGGCGACAGCTTGAGGCTCTGTCTCAAAAAAAAAAAAAAAGAAAAAGAAACAAAGCCAACTCTATTCACTATTATTTAAGTGCAGTAGGAGTTCACATTTGTTCAAAGCAAATGTTTTGAAGTTATTTATTCCCCACTGTCTCTAGTAGGAAGTTTGAATCATTGGCAAATCTTCATGACCACTCATGTAAGAACCTTCTGAATATAGAATATTTTTTTCAACTTATTGCCGTTAAAAATTACAAATTTTCTTTGAATAATTGAAAACATCAAACCCAAGTTTTAAAAATTCTTATAATTTACAACCATATTCTCAAAGAAGTAGTTCTCAGAATCAAATTTGAAGGTTTTTTTTTTAATTTTTTATCCAACAGGGTCATCCGTCACTCGTGAAAGCTCTGTCCTGCCTCTATGAAAAGCTTTATCAGCATCAAATTGATGCAAATAAAGAGATCCTTGTGACGGTGGGAGCATATGGATCTCTTTTTAGTGCCATTCAAGGATTAATTGATGAGGGAGATGAAGTAAGTATGTTAATATTTTCATAGTACCTCTATTAGTAATTGTCATTTGTCCAACCTTTGAGTCTTTTGTTTTACATTCTTTTTTATTTTTAATTATTCTTGATGTCAAATGCATATACAGTAAATCCCCAAATATGAATGTACAGATGAATTAATTTCTATGGACTACAACCAGGTGAAGGTAAAGTACATTTCCAGCACCCAGAAGGCCCCTTTGTGCCCCTTCCTGGTCTGTATTTTCCCGGAGGGAGCCACTCTTCTGCCTTCTATCACAGATTCATTTTAACTGCTCTTTTACTTTACATAAATAGAATCATACAGTATCACTTTTGTATAATCACACTTTTGGGTCTTATTCCCATCATTTATCATTATGTCTATGAGATTCATCTATTTTATTACATGTAATTTATTCGTATTCTTGTACCCTGTTTAAAGGTAAGTAGAAGCCAGGCATGGTGGCTCACACCTGTCATCCTAGCACTCTGGGAGGCTGAGCCAGGTGGATTGTGTGAGCTCAGGAGTTTGAGACCAGCCTGAGCAAGAGTGAGACTCTATCTCTAAAAAGAGCATGGTGGTATGGGCGTGTAGTCCCAGCTGCTAGAGAGGCTGAGGCAAGAGAATCACTTGAGCCCAAGAGTTTGAGGTTGCTGTGAGTTATGATGCCAGAGCACTTGAACAAGGGCAACAGAGTGAGACTCTGTCTCAAAATAATGTAGAAAGGTTGGGGCTAGCATTGAAGGGGAAAAGAACCTTTTGTTTTCATTGCTAAAATAACCTTTAATCTGAACTTAATCAACAAGTATTTGATCAATGTCTTTTTGTGCCCAGTGTCACGTTAGCAATGCAATGTGAGAATATATAACAAGAAGAAGAAGTGATTTCTGCATTGTAGTCCTATGATCTAAACCAACCTGGGCACCTCCCTCACTCATCTCTACCCCTACCTCCCCATGATCATTCCAATATACCTGCTTTAATAGTTTTGACCTCTTTCATTTATTCAGAAATTACTCAGCATCACCTGTATGTTAGCTATCTGGAGAGAGAAAATTTTTAAAAGATGGTTTCTATGTAGGAGGAGTTCTCTGCCCAGTAGAGGAGATAGCCTCGGAGACAGACTAAAAGGAATGTCCTATGTCAGTCAGTAGTGGAGGATGTATAATTTATGGTCATGACAAAAGGAAGAAGTGATCGGCTCTGCTAAGGTCTGGAAATGCTTTTAAATTATTAGAGCACTTCATACCAAAGAGCACAACAGTGTTCTCTCTCCTTACAGTCTGCTTCTGTCGCTGCCTGATAGATCACTTATATTCTAGATTCTACTTCTAATTTGAAATATAAAGAAATTCTTAATGATTTTAACAGAAACATCCATTTCAAACATGCATTTGAAAATGCAGTAGCCACTCCCCAGATAAATCTACCTGTGAACATATAAAATTTGACACACAGTTTCAAGTGCCCCAACTGTAAACTCCTCCATACATCTTCGGAGACCAAGGACTCCAATTAAAACTCCATGGACAAGTTCATCTCCAAGGCCTCTTCCTCTCAGATGTTAGCCTTTCTCTTTCCTGCATCGCAACACCTGCTACATAGTAGGTACACAATATATTCATGAAATGGATTCCATGAGTGGTATGTCATGTTCTAATTTGCTTTTATTTCAGGTCATAATAATAGTGCCTTTCTACGACTGCTATGAGCCCATGGTGAGAATGGCTGGAGCAACACCTGTTTTTATTCCCCTTAGATCTGTAAGTTTGCCAGTATGATTCCTATGCTTTAAGAAGTTTGGGAAATACCAGTGACTTTATCACTACTAAAGTTTCTACTTGCATTGGAGATTTATTATATTGTTTATTCTCTTTCATTGAAGAATATTATGCTCAAAATAACTACGCCACTACAGTGAGTCATAGAATCTTCTATTAGCCTTATAGTATCAGACGTGTTAACCATAGTTATAGCTGGCACCTACGAAGATGGGCACACTGTTAAAGTTGACAGGTTCAGTTTTTCATTTAACAGGTGTGAGCCTGAGACATAGGTCCTTTGAGGCTCTCAAGGCAAAACTAAAGCCTTGCTACTTCTGTTTATGTTCTTTGCTAGTCATTTACTCAGTTACCTTTGCCATGCCTTTCTTTAATTTTTTTTTTCCCCTACTAGGTTATTTATTTGTAAGACAGCAAACATGAACTAATTAAATCACATCTTCATTCTTCACACTTAGAAACCTGTCGATGGAAAAAGATGGTCTAGTTCTGACTGGACATTAGATCCTCAAGAACTGGAAAGTAAATTTAATTCCAAAACCAAAGCTATCATACTAAATACTCCACACAACCCCCTAGGCAAGGTAAGCAGGTCTTCTCTTTCTTCATGTTGTTCTCTGACCCCTGGTTCTCTCATGTGTTGGGTAATAACTGGCCATGCTTTTTTTTAATATGTGTAGGTTTATACCAAAGAGGAACTGCAAGTAATTGCTGACCTTTGCATCAAATATAACACACTTTGCATCAGTGATGAGGTTTATGAATGGCTTGTATATTCTGGACATAAGCATTTTAAAATAGGTACTGATTATTACATAGAGTCATGAATCTAATTGTGTTTGGGCACATGTGGAAAAACTGATTGGAAATGATCCTAAACCAGCTTTAAAATAGTCTTTGTAAGGGGTATTTGTATGAGTGTTGAAAAATAGTATTTGAATGAATGATGCTTGAGTGAATTAATGAACCGCTAGAAAAACAAAAAGCACAAATTCAAGGGAATTGATTTTGGATCATCATAATATAAAGCTAAGAAACCAAACAAGTAGTTTATTGGCCTATATCCCTGGCTTCTTTGTAGGAATCCAGCTAGTAAGTATTTGGTACTTAAGACACAGGGAGCTTACCATTCCTGAAGAGGCTCAGGAATGTTCGTGCTGAACAAGTTGCCAAAATGCCAGGTCAACAGGGACAAATTACAGGGGCAGTGAGGGATTGCAGCTCAGCCCTTGCCTCAGAAATGGGCAGAATAAAGGGGACTGAACAACAGTCATAACTGCAACCAACACTATGCCATAGAATTACTGTGTTGACATGGAGACACTACGGGCACTGAACACAGACGGCCACATGAGCCAGCCTGGAACACTGCCTCCTCAAACCACTGATGCTCCTGCCCCGTAAATAATTTTGCTCCTTGAAATTATTAAATCTGGTTGGGTGCAGTGGCTCATGCCTGTAATCCTAGCACTCTAGGAGGCCAAGATGTGAGGATCCCTTGAGCTCAGGAGATCAAGGCCACCCTGAGCAAAAGAGAGGCCCTATTTCTACTAAAAATTGAAAAATTAGCCAGATGATGTGGTCGGGGCCTATAGTCCCAGCTACTAAGGAGGCTGAGACAGGAGGATATATTGAACCCAGGAGTTTGAAGTTGCTGTGAGCTAGGCTGATACCATAGCACTCTAGCCTGTCTCAAAAAAAAGAGAAAGAAAAAGAAATCGCCACATTTATTTTATATGTTATTTGAGGCAACATTCCAGTGTTGCAGTGTTTTTAGCTGTTTTTATTAAAGATGCATCATCTAAAGAAAGGCCTACTGAAATAACTATACTACACTAATCATACATTTATTTTCATTGAGTGTATGTGTCTTTGTTATGTTTTTAGGTTATACTGAATGTACATAGATTGGAAAACGGTTATTTAACTTTTTTTTCTGTGCAGCCACTTTTCCAGGAATGTGGGAGAGAACAGTGACAATAGGAAGTGCTGGGAAGACCTTCAGTGTCACTGGCTGGAAGGTAAGATGAGTGCGAATCTAATTGCTTAGAAGTCAGCACCTATATATTTTTTGGAGAATGTTTTGTGTTTTAAATGTGTACATGTTCAGTTTATACAGATGTTCATACTTAGTGATCCTTTGTTTATTGATTGAGTTATTCAGCCTTCATGTTGAGCTTTATCCTTTTTGAGACCTACTTATTTCTTTAAAAATGAGAAAAATTAGATAATTTTCCATTTTATAGTAGAGCTTTATACTATAAGCCCAACTAGTGACTTTTTTTTTTTTTTTTTTGCAAAGAATGTTCAAATACTCTAAATGAATATGAAAGGAAGAAAAACAGGCTGGGTATGGTGGCTCACACCTGTAATCCTAGCAGCCGAGGCAGGTGGATTGCTTGAGCCCAGGAGTTTGAAGTTGCAATGAACAATGATGGCACCAGTGTACTCTCTAGCTAGGGCAGTAGAGTGAGAGTCTGTCTTAAAGAGGAAAGAAAAATGTATATGTATGGGTATATATATGTATACATACACACTAGATCCTCTCTAAGTTAGCAAACCGGTCAACATAAGGAACCAGGCCTACTGTACTGACGTGTACCTGTGGTACATGTCCAGTCTATAAAAATTAGGTCAACTTGAGGTGGTCAATGTAGGAAGGTGGTCGACTAGGGAGGTTCTACTGTATATATTAATACATATAATTTTATAGATGCATTTTTTAATATGTGGAAGAAAAATAATAATAGCTAATAGTTTGGCACTTACTATGTGTCAGACTCCAAAGGTTTTACCTATACTCATTTCTGTCATTCTTCAAACCACATTACAAGGTGGGTACAAGTATTATATTTGGTTCACAGATGATAAAGCTAAAGTGCAGAGAAATTAAGTGACTGGCCTGAGATTCCACTGCTAATGAGTCCAAGCTGAGACAGGTAGTCTGGCCCCAGAACCAGTGCACTTAACCACTGTGTTATTTATTACAGTAACAGTGTATCCAGCTGAAACTCAATTCTCTTCCAGCCTCACCTCTCCTGAACATAGCTAAGAAGCAAGGAGCATCAAAAATGAGGCCTGCAGAACCAAAAATCTGTGTCTTTTGATTATGGCAGTGTCCCTTCCACCCTCCTTCAGAGTAACTTTTATCTGAAATTCAAACAAACTTCGTTACCAGTTTTTAGTCCTGTAGAATATCAGAAGTTGCAAATCAGAAGAAGAGAAAAGGCTAAAAGTGATTGCATGTTGTGTTTACCGCCTGAAGTCCAGGCTGCATCACCCCAGCTGGAAAGACCAGCACTGAGGCTTCCTTACGAACAAGACGTCTCCTGTTCTTCTTCGCGTCCGCACGGGATTTCAGCTTGGAAGAAGAGGCCAGCGTCAGAGAAAGTGAGATGACAGACGGATTCCATCTTCCTGCCTGTAACCCGAAAGACATGGAGACCTCGCACTTCCCTACGCAAAAACTGCCTCGGAGAGGGCGATGATAGGGCACCAATTCCGGAATTTGAGGGATTTGTTTGTCTTGGGAAGCGCTTCAGAGATGCACCAGATGACACTTTTATTATTTAAAGATGTGAAAAATGCAGGAGATTTGAGGGAAAAGGCCATGGAAGGGCACTGATAAATCCAACAGTGATTATCGATCCATTTCAGATACTTGTGGCAGCAAACAGAGCAGTTCACCTCTACAAACTGGGAAAAAGGAACACAACTCTGTCTACTGAAATTATTTCTAACCTTTCCCCCAAAACGATATTTCACAGGCTTTGAAAAAATTTGGTATCTCAGCCAATAATACCTCAATTCTAATTGTTTACACTGAAGAGGGAGAAAAACAAATAAATCAAGAAAACCTAATATCTCAAGGAGAAGATCATCAGATTTCTCTGAAAGATCTTCCTAAAATAACAAATACTACAGACATTAAAAAGATACGTAAACTTTCTTCACAAGAAGAATATATTGGAACATGATTGGATAGTATCATTTGTAAAATGTCAACAGAAGACTTTTTGTGAAATGTTGGAAATAATAACAGAAATTTCATCTTCAAACCATTGATTTTATTTATATATAATTAGAATAAAAATTGCAAACACTTCATGAAAAAAAAAGAACAGCAATGAAATAGCTCTGAGTCCTAATACTATGCTACTTTCATAATGTGACTATTTTTAGAATTGTGTCAACTTTAACTATAAACTTGACACAATTGTGTCAACTTTAATTGGATTATGTTTTGAAATCTTTTATCTTTTCCTTTCCTAGCTTGGCTGGTCCATTGGTCCTAATCATTTGATAAGACATTTACAGACAGTTCAACAGAACACCATTTATACTTGTGCCACTCCTTTGCAGGTAGGTGTTACGGTAACTGGGGGTTGAAGTGTGTGGAAGTCTTACTTTTAGATCGCATGTGTAAATTGACTTAGTTCTCTTTATGTCTTTGTTTAGCAGGGCTTTCTAATATAATTTGGGATTTCACAAGCGGACATATATTCACTATCAAGAATAGTTGTTTTTTTTCATACACACACACGTGACTACACAAGTTTTACCTTTGAACAGTCATGCATTGCTGGTGACACTATAAAGTGCTTCAAACTATGCAGGACAGTGGCAGCACCAAGCAAAATTACAGATGTGCCTGCAGCAGCTCATCTTCTGAGAATTTACCTTAAAGCAATTATCTGCACATGTAAGAAGTTATGTATGTACGTGACTATTCATTGCAGATGATTGGAGATAGTCTGTTATCCATCTACAGGGAATTAGTTAAATACACCAGGATTTGTCCAAATACTAAAATGGTATATGACGGAAATTACCATAGACTTCGTGACTTAAAACACCACAAATTTATTATCTTATAGTTCTACCACTCAGAAGCGTGAAATGGTTCTTAAAGGGCTAAGCTGAAGATGTCAGCCTTGCTGTTTTTCTCTGGAGACTCTTCCTTGCCTTTTCTAGCTTCTGGGAGCTGCCTGCATTCTTTGACTTGTCACATCACTCCAACCTCAGTCAACACACCTCCTCCTGTGACTTTAACTCTCCTACCTCCCTTTTTCCCTTATAAGGACTCTGAAATAATGTTAGGCCACCTGGATAATCTCCCTATCCCAAGAGCTTTCATTGAAATCACATCTGTGAAGTTCCTTTGCCATGTAAGGTAACATATTTACAGATTCTCCATTTCAAGACATGGACATCTTTGAGGGGCCATTATTCTGTCTGCTACAATGTCTGTTTAAAAGAAAAGGAAAAGGAAAAATAATGAGGAAACTCTTCAATTGCTGATATGGAAATATTTCCAGAATATAATATAAAGAAAAAAGCAAATTGCAGATTAGAATACTTTTATGCTACATTTGCTATAAGAAAGGGGTTATATTTTCTCAAAGGATCACTGGAAGGAGTCATAAGAAACTAGGAAAAGGGGCTATGTGTAGGATAAAATCAACAGAAAGAGACAGAGATAGGTTGAAGACTTTTTTCTTTGAGATAGAGTCTCACTATGTCGCCCTCAAATGTGTCTTTTTTGTATATCTTTTTGTATTATTTTAAATATTTTAAATATTTAATATTTTATGTTTGTATCTGTTTATAGGAATAAGGACCTGTTTTCTATTAATCTATGAATAATCAAAAGACTAAAAAAAATCATTCTTCTAGAAGGCAGTTCAAATAGCAAAAGAGTGAAATGTACTAGCCATAGAGAACTTGATTTTTTTTTCTTCCTGTCAACAAAACCTACTGAATGAGAAAAAAAATCTTATTTTAAAGTACTTTGTTTAGTGATTCTCTAAAGTAATCCATGATAAACGCAAGTTCTGACATTTGGTTTGATTATATATTAAACTCATTTCATCCTCTCAAAATAAATCCATTCACTTATTCAACAAATGTATACTGAGTATTGGAGATAAGGCAGACAAAAATTCTTGCCTTCATGGAGCTTACAGCCTAGTGGGGGGAATACAAATAATAAATATTGTAAAACATGTCAGATGTTGATAGATATGAAGAAGAAAAAAAAAAGTAGTGAAGAGGAGAGATATAAAGTGCCACAGGGTAGGGGGGAGGGCAATGTACAATGATAAATAGGGTGTTTTTTTTTTTTTTGAGACAGAGTCTCACTATGTTGCCCTCAGTAGAGTGCTGTGGCATCACAGCTCACAGCAACCTCAAACTCTTGGGCTTTAAGCTATTCTCTTGCCTCAGCCTCCTGAGTAGCTGGAACTACAGGCACCTGCCACATCGCCCAGCTTTTGTTGTTGTTGTTGTTGTTGTTGTTATTGTTGTTTACCAGGCCTGGGCCGCGTTCGAACCTGCCAGCCCCGCTATATGTGGCTGGCACCCTAGCTGCTGAGCTATAGGCACTGAGCCAAATAGGGTGATCTTTGAAAGCTTCCCTGGGAAGGTGACATTGAAGCGATGAACTAAAGCAGGTTACACAGTCACATGGTTACCTGGAGGAGACACCCTAGACTGATACAGCACCTAGTGCAAAGGTGAGGTGGTGGGTAGCCTAGCAGGCATGTTTACCTCAGAGAACAGCCCAGAAGCTGGAATGGGATGAGCAGGGGCGAAGAGGAGGAGGAGGACATAAGATCAGAGAGGTAGGTGGGAGTCAGAACCAGAGGAAGGACCAAGTGAGACAGGAAGACAGCAGAGAGTCTGGAGCACAGGAGTGACATGGTCCATCTGGTGCAATCAAAGAACTCTGGGTGCTTTGTTGAGGGAGAAAGCTGTTACAGTGATCCAGGAGAGAATTGCCAGTAGATGGAACCAATATGGGGATGGCAGAAGTGGCAAAAAGTGATTAGACTCTGAGTGTATTTTGAAAATAGAGCCACCAGTCAGTATCTGTCAATGGACTACATATTGGGTATGAGAAAAAGATAGGAGGCCAGTGTAATGCTAGTTAAGATGGACGTTTATGTCTCCTGGACTTGGAATGTTCTAGGGCAGTATCTCCCTTTATAGTGAGTGAACAAGTTGCTGAGGAAAAGAAAGATACAGCTAAGAATCTAGAGCATCTTTTTTCTGGACTGTCTGATTCCTCATTTAGGCCACTTGACCAGTTTTGTCCTCAGACTACCATGCTTGGTTCCATGGGAACCACATTATTCCGGGCTGATGCAGTTAATCCTTATTTATCTAAGAGTTTTTTAGTACTGGGGAATTTCTAGTAATTCTGTCTTACTGCTGAATTATTTTGGCATGAAGGTTTCTGTATGATCTTCGCCACCCCCAAGTCTCATCTCTGGCCACACTGTTTCTCTTGACACCCTTCAGCCACGCTGAGATGCTCCTCTCCTGGGTTCTTCCAACAGAACAAATCACATCCTGCCTTTTTCGTTTGTTTTTTTGTCTCCTCTCTTTCCCTCCTTCCAATACACACTATTGAAATCTTCAGAAGCAAGGACCCTGTTTGTCTTGTTGATTGTTATATCCCCAGCACTTACCAGGATGTTAGAGTTAGCGTAGGTACTCAACACACATTTACAAAGTCAATTAGCATATTCTTTGGTTCTTTCTATCTCTTGCTTCAGACCAATTTCCTCAGCATTTGACTACTTTGCACTGTCCCTCTCTCTCTCATCTATTCCAAGTTCTTAACCATCTGCCTGGAATTCCTGGTCAGCTCTGAGCAGCATCATTTCTAAGTGGCCCCTGTCCACACTTGCCCCTCTGCTTGTCCAGGTCTTTGAGTTTACACATGCCCTGATTCTGACCTGTTGACCTATTCCTGGCCTGTTACCTTCTAAGACACCTGCCTGATCCTCAGCATCTTAGTTGGTCTCCCTGCTATAACAAAGTACCATAGACTGAGCAGCTCAGAAACAACAGGAACCCATTCCTCACAGTTCTGGATGCTAGAAAAATCCAAGGTCAAGTCACCAGCAGATCCACTGCCTGGTGAGGGCTCCTCTTTGCTGTGTCCTCACATGAAGAGCCAGCTCTCTTTTCTAAGGGCATTAATCCCATTTCTGGGGGGATTACCTGCCCTAATTACCTCTCAAAGGCCCCACCCCCTAATACCATTACCTGGGCTTTAGAATTTCAATGCATGAGTTTTGAGGGGACATAAACATTCAGTCCACTGCCCCTGCCAACACTGGCTTTGTCCTTGGCCCATTTCTCTTCCAGCTCTTCTGACTTGCATCAAGGCTGACCCAGCAGCCACTTCACCTGCTCCAGAAACTCCTTTCTAATTTCTGTTGCACTTAGGCCACCTTCCTGGCCTAGGAATGATTATGTCAACAATTTACACCTATAGGAAATGAAAGAGCTGTGTTTCCTCCTCTACCTGCGGGTAGGTTTTCATTTCCACTGTGTCCACCAACGTATTGGGGAAAACTGGCTACTTCATCACCTCTCTGGCCATTTTTCTGACTTAGATTTAGCAAGTCATTCTATAGCTCACCTCATAGAAAGTATCTTACTATCTTTTGTTCCCAAGTGAGTCATCTTTACATAATAATACCCCTTTTTCTTTTCTTTT